AGCTTTCAAGAGGGAACCTAGATTCAGAGGGCATGGAGGAAGGTAGAATCTCCACTGAGTAGTATCCAATCTGTCTAGGCGCGACTCATAAAAGGAAATGCAGATAGGTCTCTTGTGATACAATAGTGAGTAATTGTTACCAGGACTGATTGTGAAGGTTGTAAATGTAAAAGTGGGCATTTTGTGGCAAGGAGAGGAGTGATTGACTTAGCAGGCTGGGAGCGGAGGTCCCTGGAACCATGAAGGGAGAAGAACGGAGTGTGGAACCCTACCCAGAGAGGCAGAGATCCCCAAGATGATGACGTGGAGAGACGAAGCAGCTGGGGACTCAGGACCCAGGGAGGAAGAGGGGCTGTGTGCTGACGACGAGGTGGGGGGTGGGAGAAGCAGGCTTATAGGATGTACCCTTTCGTTGACTGGTGATGCGTGGAGGGGACTGTAACCATGGCAATGAAACAATATACGATGAATGTAAAACTAATATTCTCCCATGTAAACTGTCACATAATTCACAATAAAACTTAAAAAAAAAGAAAAAATTCAAACTTGACTTGTAGTATTTTAAAGGCTTGTGTGAGCAAAATATTGAATGATGCAGAAAGCATCCAAAGAAGACAGAAGGAATATACAGAGTCACTGTACCAAAAAGAAATGGTCGATATTCAACCATTTCAACAGGTAGCATACGATCAAGAGCCAATGAGTCTGAAGGAAGAAGTGCAACTGCACTAAGGCACTGGCAATGAACTAGGCATTGGGAATTGATGAAATACAAATTGAAATCTTTCAACAAACTGATGCCGCAATGGCCTGGCCAACTAACTGGAAGAGATCCGAATTTATGCCCATTTCAAAGAGAGGTGACCCAATAGAACAGGGAAATCATCACACAATATCACTGATAATGCCACGTGAGAAATGTTTTACTAAAGATAATCAAAAAACAGCTGCAACTATAAATTGACAGGGACATTACAGAGGTTGAAGCCAGATTCAGAAGAGGATATGGAACGAGGAATACCATTGCTGACGTGAGATGGTTCTTGGCTAAAAGAGAATACCAGAAAGATGTTTACCTGTGCTTTATTTACAAAAGCAAAGGCTTTTGACTGTGTGGATCCCAAGAAGCTATGGACAACACAGTGAATACGAGTATTCTGGAACACTCAATTGTGCTCATGAGGAACCTGTACACAAGACAGTTGTTCAAATAGAACAAGGGACCGAATAGTTTAAAATTAGGAAAGGTGTGCAACCAGGGTTTCACCGTACTTATTCAATCTGTATGCTGAGCAAATAATCGGAGAAGCTGGATTATATGAAGAAAAACATGACACCAGGATTGGAGGAAGACTTGTTAACAACCTGCGATATGCAGATGATATAACCTTGCTTGCTGTCAGTGAAGAGGGCTTAAAATACTTGTTGGTAAAGATCAAAGACCCCAGCCTTCAATATGGGTTGCGTCTCAATGAAAAGAAAAGAAAACACAAATC